TTGTTAAAAGGAAAGGGACAAGCATTGAGGGGATCAGGGACTAAATTCTTTAAAAAGAAATAAAAAAAGATGTCCTAGCTAACGTCAAGGGCAAGAACCCCAGGTCAGCTGAGGATAAGGGTAGTGGGCACAGAATGGATCACCTTGGTAGCAGGTTCCAGGAAAATCCTGCTTTGTCTTACCTGTGCGTCCCTGGCTGGGACATGAAATAAGTAACCACATCTCTCATCCACCAGACGTGCTGGTGACCTTGGCAGAAGAAGCACTTAAATCAGGTCATTCTGGGGGAAGGGGCTGTCTCATCCCAGGGCCTTCCTTAAAATTAGGTAAATTTCCCAGCTCCTGCTGAAATTTGTCAGTGGTTCTGCATGTGAAAGGGAAGGTAGAAGGAAGAGGAAGCTATAAGGGGAAGGGACACTTATGGCCTCTGGCCTGGCCTAGAGAAAATCCAGGCCTCATGTAGTGGGCCCTCCATCCTCAATGTTTTGGAAGTGCAGGGAGGGGCAGCTGGGGATCTCCATAGATTCGATGGGGAACAATAAGAGCAACTGAGGGAGAAGGGCCTCAAATACAGGTTGGAGATTGTGTCTCAGAGCTGGGGTTCTATAGTCCTCCCAATACTCACTCACCTTTCTGGCCCACCCTGGATGAGAGGGGCAGTGGGGGCTAGGGCAGCAGCTCCAAGGCAGTGTGGATTTTGAAGGTGGGCAGAGAGTAGGGCTGTTTCTGACCTTTATTAGTTGTGTGCCTTTGGGCAAGTCAACTAACCACTCTGAGTCTGTTTTCCCATCTCTAAATGAAGATGTCAATACCTACCTTCCCCAGTCACTGTAGGGATGAATGAAAGAAGACCTCTGGAAGCATTTCTGTAATTGCTAGACTTCAGGGATTGTTATTCACCAAGGTGAGAGGCCACCCTACGTCCCTGGAGGGGACAGCGTCAAGGAGATATTTTTTTTCTCCTCTGCGGAGCCTGCTCCTTTCTCAGCCTGGATGCTGGCTTTAATCCTCTGTTCCCCAACCCCTGCGCTTCTCCTTGAGACCGCCTTGGTGATCCCCAGATTCCCGTACCTTGCCTTTTCCCATAGGCGCCCTCGTTATAAAACCCTGGGGATGTCGGTATGGGCGCAGAGTTGGTACAGTGTGGGACAGGTCCGGGGGTCTTGGTTGGCCTGGATATGCGCTCCTCGCCATGCTTGGGGGCTCTCATTTGCAGATGGTTCCCTCTGATCCTCAGCTCCTCTCTGGACCAAACAGATGAGGGGAGAAACAAGGGGTAGGGGGCCTGGAAGGGGGTTCCCACCTTCTCAGTCCAGAATCCGAGAGGGGGACCCAGCCCTTGCGCCCCAACGCCGCACCGTCATGGGTCTCCAAGCCGAGCACGCAGTTGCTGGCATCCTCGGCAAGGTTTGCCCCCTCCGACTCCCGGAGGTTTGCCCCTTCCGACTCCCAGGCCGTGACCCCCCTCACCCAGACCCCGCCGATCCCCGGCTCGGAGCGAGCGGGAGCATGCGGTTCTAGGACCCGGAGGCGCCGCCGCGCGCGCCGCCGCCTCTGCCTCGCCTCGGCCGCCTCCCGCTCCGGCAGGTGAAACGGCGCCCGCCGCCGCCTCTGCGGCAGGTGAAGCGGGTCGCCGG